TTGTTCTCCAGTGACTGGACGTTGGCGAGCAGGATGCTAGGCAGAGGTGTGCGGTGTGCACGAGCTCTCAGCCTGTTCCTGACGCCGGGTCGCTTCCCTCTAGGCCGCCGCCTAGAAGTAGAATAGCTTTCTGTGAGTAAGGCCTTATAACACATGACATTTTGTTTCAAACCGTGATGGCTTTATATTTCGATGCCACCGTCAGGTCGTTCTAAACTAGGTGTGGGCAACATCTGTGTCACACTAAGAGAATTTGTTTTCTTTCTTTTATTTAACTTTATTACATTTGTGGAACTTCTGTTTGGTGAACTCGAAATTGCTTACTTGAAGCAGTCTATTTAAATGTCATTATGTCTGATTTTGAAATATCCACAGTGGAGTTCAGATGTTCATCCATCAGTTGGGATCTCTAAGGTGTTGTAGTTTATCACAGAGAAGCTTTATTCACCTATAAAAATCTGATGGGCTGTGTCTTGCAGCAGCACCACAGACGCTTTAAAAGAATTTGACTCACGATGAATATATAAAGCTGTCGTTATTTGTTTTTTGGGCAGTTTGCTTTGTTTTCCTTTTATGACATTGCAGGTCAGGTTGAAACACCTGAGAGGAAAAGTCAGTGTGTTGCCCAAACCTACTGTGTCTTATCCTGCTTACTGTAGCCTTTGGGTCTGATAGCTTTTAGAGCAGTGTAAAAATTGTGAAAAAAGTATAATAACTAAGTTTTAGGGTATAATAAACCCAATAATTTAAGCTGACAAAAAAACCCATTACTATTTTTACGTGAAAATCATGTAATTTCACATTACATCTATACCATTACAGTATAAATCACCTTAAAGCAACTGCTATCGTACACACACACACACACACACACACACACACACACACACACACACACACTAGGTAACTCTCCTGTGGTCCTCAGAGAATCTTCCAGGGATCCTCTCCAACAGCGGAGAAGGTACATCCAGAAACACACACACACTTTCTCTCTGGGTGACCTACCCTCTTGTCTTTGAAGTAGTATGGGTCGATGTCTTCCAGTGGAACGCCCACCAGATGAGATGGGATGTCAGCGAAGATGCGTGGCAGCTGTTTTCCTGCCTCCAGATCGGGCCGGGGCCGGAGGAGCTCCACGTCGCCCAGGTCCTGACGCACACACAGACACACAAACCACATCTGAAATATCTCACATCTGTCTGCTTATAACAGCTCACTTCTTTATTTCCACGTTTACCCTCCAGCATCTTGTTGTGCTTGTGTGAGCTGTGTGTGTGTGTGTGTGTTTGTTTTGACGCACCTCCTGGTAGTGTTTGTTGCGTCGGGCCTCCTCCTGGGCGATGCGCTGCTCGATGGCCGCCAGGGAGTCCGGCGTGAAGCGCTGAAAGCTCTCTGGTCCCATTGGAAACACACAGCCAGCCATCTTCTCATCCTGATCCTGCTGCTGACTGGCCCAGTATACCAGCTGCACACACACACACACACACACACACACACACACACACACACACACACACACACACACACAGAGGACAGAGGTTAGCTATGAAAAATGACTTCCTTCTTTAAACTTCCAGTTTGAACATAGTAATCTAATCTAATCCCACAACCTGCTGAATCAAACAGAACACACTTCAATACACTGTCACCAAAACCCAGCGGAGCTGCTGCTGCTGGAAACTCGTTCATCAAGTCACAGGAAAAAGAAATGCAAAGCATTGTAGCAGTTCAGTAAATCAAAATATAAATCGATCCAGTTGTGCTGTATACGATTATGTTTAAACTTAACAAAATTTAAACCAGTGCATGTTTGCAAACATCAAAACTGTAGAGATGACACACGAAGTATTTCTGACACATTTCATTGTTGAGTCCTCTCCAAAGTTTACAAAAGCTTTAATGGTTTTAATAATTATAAGCAGCATGGCAGCTTCAACTTTACAGCAGGATTATTATGATGATTGTTATTTTTAGCTTTTACTGCGAGTGCTGATATTAAACCAGAATATGAAATCTGTAGATTGAAAAGTAGATCACGAGCCCAAAATCTGCTGACGTCTCACATATAGTCAGAAAAAAAACAGCTGACTGACCACCAGAACAACATCCTCGTGTTGTGTTATGAATCATAATTGTTCCCAATATTAACCCTTTAAGACCTACCATAGAACCAAGTCTGCCAGAGCTTATATTATATTTTTACATGCTGTGGAGCCATTTTTGGGAGCATTTCAAGTTGCTATACATCAATACAACCATTATAGCCCAAATTTTAATAATATGTCTGCATTAAGTGCATAGTAATTACATAAATTGCAAAAAAGTGCAATAAAATACAAAACAATTGAAAATCGTTTTTGTTTTTTTAACATATATTTCTAGTTAGAGAAATTTAAGAGGCTGTCTGCAAAACTGTAAATACAAAAAAGTTGCACAAACTAGACACTTAAAATTTATATTAAGTGTCGTCATAGTTTTATTTTTGAAATACACCAATTTTCATACACTGCAGGAAAAACGAAAATAAATATTATACTGCAAATTTGCAAAAAAGCAGCATCAAAATAAACTATTTCCAGCAGTGCAATATGAGTCCTCAGCATCCCAGAAACGACACAGAAAGTCATAAAGTCAAACATAACTTTGAAAAACACCAGTATAGGCTCATGAGGCCCTCATGGTAAAAAACGACATTTTCGCAAAATGCCGTCACTTCCGGTTTCGGGCAGGTAATAGCGGACATGCGATAGTTCGCGCTGACGTCTATTCCAACGTAGGAAGTGTTATGAACAGCTGATCGGATCAGCAAAGTGTGTTTCTGGAATATTATGTTTTTGTTGCTGCAAGTGCTTTTTATGCAATTTTTGCAAAGCTTTATGTGGAAGGAAACCGTGACCGAGGACAAGCTGATGGCATCAGATGTAAGTACAACTCCTCCGGTTTCATATGCAAAAAAAATTATTGCGCTAGCTTACGTGGTTGCAGATCTACCGGGAGTAAAAATAGTTACGCAAAATGGAGCGTGTCCGCTCCGAACGGCTTTAAAGGGTTAACGACTATGAATCTCAGAGCAGCTGTTTGTAAAGAAGTCACTGAGCATGCTCAACATCCAGCTTACTGTGTTTGCCACTCTGGGATTAATCACTTTAGTTTTGACGTAATTTTATTTTCACATCTGTCCATTTCAGCTTCACTTTTAAAAAAATCATTGGTGACATTTGCAAAGCATAAACTTGCCGAGCACATTACAATTAAGGACTATAATGCTGTAACTTCCATATTTTATGGTAATAGAGCTGCGAAATGCGTCAGTGCTGATGCAGAGGCTTTAGTAAAGAAGTCAAATAAAAGCGGCCTCCCTCTTTAGGTCAAAACTGATGATAGAAAACACTTGTTGAGTATATTTTGAATCCTCGAGTCATGAGCTGACGAGCGTTTGATTTGAGTGCCAGGAGTGTCTATGGGCATCGGGACAGAGCTGTGATTGAACGGCCTCGTCGCTCGCAGGATGATTACGTCCTCTGAGACGGCGTTCTGCCACTCAGGACAACCCCAGCTTCACCTCGCTCATCATTCAGCGGCCGCTCGGGCCCTTTGAAAGGGCAGCAATCAGCCTGAAAAACTCTCCACGATCGACTCCAACCTGATGAAGCTCAATCACACCTGCCCCCCCTCCCACTCTGCCTGACACCTCTGCGATGTCAACAGCTGCACAAGGTGTTTTACAAATAACCAGATGACACTACTGCATGGAACACCGAGTCAACAAGAGCACAATTTTCGATTTTGATCCGTTTTACATATTTAGTCCAGGTAAGACAATCACACTGCTCATTTTTCCTTTTCTACATGATGGTGGCCTGTTTCCATGAAGATAGTCAAAGGAGCTTGCAAAGAAAAGC